ATGGGATGGGATGGGATGGGATGGGACGGGACGGGATGCTCCCAGTGTCCCAGCCAAGCCACGGCTCGTGCTGGGTGCCCCACGCTGGCCCAGCTCTGCCTCCCCCGGCCCAGGCAGCTCTGACGGGCTCTGCTGCCGCCTGGGCAAGCCCTGCCGGACGCAGAAGCCGCAGAAGCCGTGGTGGCAGGACGAGTGGGAGGTGCCGCGGGAGTCACTGAAGCTGGTGGAGAAGCTGGGAGCGGGGCAGTTCGGAGAGGTCTGGATGGGTGAGTCAGGGCGAAGCCGGGGCTCCAGAGCGAGCAGCAGGATCCTCCAGCCGCCCTCCTTGGCACCGCTGCTGTCACCTGCCCGGTGTCCGGATCCTGTTTTTCCCTGTTTTTCCCCCAAGGTTTCTACAACGGGCACACAAAGGTGGCAGTGAAGAGCCTGAAGGCTGGCAGCATGTCCCCCAGTGCCTTCCTGGCCGAGGCCAACCTGATGAAGAAGCTGCAGCACCCGCGGCTGGTGCGGCTCTACGCCGTGGTCACCAAGGAGCCCATCTACATCATCACCGAGTTCATGGAGAAGGGTGAGGCCACCCAGCACGGCTCCAGGGGCTGGCACATCCCTGTGGATGGGCCCACAGAGCTCTGGAATTTTAAGGCTGGAAAAGATCTTTAGGATAGAGTCCAAGCTGTGGAAAACCCCCACCTAAAGTGGTCCAGAGCGCTGTGCCGGTCATTCCTTAACCCCCTCCAAGGATGTGACTCCCCAAAACCAGTAAAAATGAGATTGGCAATGAGGAAATCTGTTAAATTTAGAGATTCCTTTGCCTCCAGCCTTTGTTCTCTCCCATCTCCAGCTTGGGGAAAAAGGACTTTCTGTGTTCTCCTGCCCACATTCCCTGAGTTTTTTTTTGGGGGGGGACAGTGCCCTTGTGACCCCCCACGGCCCCCAGGAGCTGAGAATTGCTGCTTTCATCACAGGCAGCCTCGTGGATTTCCTCAAGACATCGGAAGGAGTCAAGCTCAGCATCAACAAACTGCTGGACATGGCAGCGCAGGTGAGGGGGGAGCAGGAAAACGGGGATGGAACTAGGAGGACTGGAGCTGTTAATTAACCACTGCCATTCGTTAATAATTGCAGATTGCTGAAGGCATGGCCTTCATCGAGGCCAAGAATTACATCCACAGGGACCTGAGGGCCGCCAACATCCTCGTCTCGGACACTTTGTGCTGTAAAATTGCCGATTTTGGGCTGGCCCGGCTCATCGAGGATAACGAGTACACGGCTCGGGAGGGTGAGTCCAGCCCAGCCCGGGGGTGACAGAGCTTGGGGACACCGGGGAAGGGACCCCCAACCAGCCTGGGTCTCTGGGGAGCTGCAGGAGAGGGGAGCAGGGCGTGCAAGGATGTTTTTCCCCTTTTCCATCTCCCCGCAGCTGCAGGGGGATGCGGGGCTCCAGCTTTGGGGTCAGGGGGCTCAACCACCAAACCCAGCTCGTCCCCAAGCAGCGACAGAGCCTGCCTGGGCTTTGTCACATCGGATTAAACCCAGCGGGCTGATTCCAGCTCATGGAATAAAGCTCAGGGCTTTATCCCCTCCCCTCCCGCCGCTTTCCAGGGGCGAAATTCCCCATTAAGTGGACAGCACCCGAAGCCATAAACTACGGGACGTTCACCATCAAGTCGGACGTGTGGTCCTTCGGGATCCTGCTCACCGAGATCGTCACCTACGGCCGGATCCCGTATCCAGGTCAGGATTTTCGGGCAGCTGCGGAGCTGGCACGCCCACGAGTGTGTGTGCATGCAGTGCTGCACGCACACTGCTGCCAGCCTGGCTCCCTGCCCTCCATCCCTGCCCCGCGTGGCTGCACGGGCACGGTCCCCAAAACACCTGGGGAGGGGTTGAAGGAGGTGGGAGGGGATGGGAGATCCCCCCCCGTGGGTTTGGGAAGGTGGGGTGGTACCTGGGAGCCAAACTGGGTCCTGGGGGTTGTCCTTGGCAAGGGTGACCGAACCCTGGGGTGGTCCCTGTGACCCAAACTGGGTCCTGGGGGTTGTCCTTGGCAAGGGTGGACCAAACCCTGAGGTGGTCCCTGTGACCCAAACTGGGTCCTGGGGGTTGTCCTTGGCAAGGGTGGCCAAACCCTGGGGTGGTCCCTGTGACCCAAACTGGGTCCTTGGAATTGTCCTAGCAGAGATCAAGCCTAGGGTGGTCCCTGCCAGGTGGGGGTGGCACAAATTGGGTGCCACAGGGGTTATCCTGGTAAGAGTGACCAACCCCAGGGTGGTCTCTGTAACACTGGGGTGACCCCAGCTGAGTCCTGGGCATTGTCCTGGCAGGAATCACCAACTCTAGGCTGGTCCCTAAAACCTGGGGGTGACCCAAGTTGGGTCCTGGGCATTGTCCTGGCAGGAATGACCAACTCCAGGGTGGCACAAGTGGCATGGGAGTGACCCAAATTGGGTCCTGGCAGGGGTGACCAACCCCAGGCTGGTCCCTAAAACCTGGGGGTGACCCAAATTGGGTCCTGGGCATTGTCCTGGCAGGAATGACCAACCCTGGGGTGGTTCCCATGACCCAGATTGGGTCCTGGGCATTGTCCTGGCAGGAATGACCAACCCTGGGGTGGTTCCCATGACCCAAACTGAGTCCTGGGCACTGTCCCAGCAGGGGTGACCAGCCCCAGGGTGACACCCACACCTGTGGGGTGACCCAAACTGAGCCCCAAACGTGTTGCCCTCCAGGGATGACCAACCCCGAGGTGATCCAGAACCTGGAGCGCGGGTACCGGATGCCGCAGCCGGACAACTGCCCCGCGGAGCTGTACGAGCTGATGAGGCAGTGCTGGAAGGAGAGCCCCGAGGAGCGTCCCACCTTCGAGTTCATGAAGAGTGTGCTGGAGGATTTCTTCACTGCCACCGAGGGCCAGTACCAGCAGCAGCCCTGAGGGCCTCACAGCCCCGCTTTGGGGTGCTGGAGGTGCCCCACGTCCCCACAGACCCCATGGACATCACCCTGGCTTGGGGGTGAACTCTGCCTGGGAAGATTTGAAGCGCTCCAGGCTTGGGAGCAGCAGATTTCTCCCCTTCAGGAGGGGATGGACGGCCAAAGCAGACCCCCAGAAGTTGGGGGATGGCACAGGGGGCTCTGCTGGTGCCCGGAGGGTGCCCACCCTGCCGTCCCTGCGTTTTCCAGGGGGCAGATCCAGGCTCCAGCCCCTCAGGAGCTGCTCTGGGGTCGCCTCACCCGGCTCTGGCCGTGCCCCCTTCACCCCCGGTGATGGCAGGAGCCCCCCAGCAGCGCTGGCCACTGCACCCCTCGGCTGTGGGACGCTCCTTCTCCCCCCTCGGCGTTTGCAGGACCTGTCCCACACCAATTTTGGGGAAATAAAGGCCTTTTCAGCGGCGGGGACCTCGCAGGGCCAGGCTGCCATGGGATGGGGTACGCGGGGTGATGTCCACGGCAGATGGACCCCACTGGGCGCTACCCACGGGAGATGGACCCCACTCGCACCGAGCCATCCCGGGGCGCTCCCGGGACCCC